TTTAGTCACTGGGTTATTGAAAAATTTAGTTTTTAATAAAACTTTGACAGTCACATGTAAAAGTCACGAATAAAACGTTCTTTCCAAGGTCAATTTAACGATGTATGTATGTCCGTTCGTCCGTCAATTATCGCCCAATGTTCAGAAACTCAGTTTCATGGACGATTAGACCAGAGGTCGTGGGTTCGATTCCCATCTATAGCACTGGTAAGCGAGCACACGATGGTGGCATAGGTGTATTTCTACGGATTTGATGTAACACACAAACTACTTTTAAACTAACTAACTTACTAATACAAATTTTCCAATCAGTTCCAGCAAAAACTCGGTAATAACTTTCAATTGTAATTACTTATTTAATAACATACTTTTCAATGACTACTACGTATCGTCTGTATTACATAGAAGTAGTATAATAAGGTCTTACAAATAAGGTGTTATATAATATTTTCTAATTCATTCGTCATTTTGCCACTAAAGATATAGAAGATGTTTCAGTTTTTTCATTTACAATGAGTACTTCACTATCCCCTACATTTGTTTGAGTCAATTCATGAAATTTTGTATAGTTGTGCCGGTAAACCTGTGTGTCCACTAAGAAAAATTACTTATTGCCGATTATCGCCAATTTGTCTGGTAACAATAAAATGTATAGCTAGAAGAGTATACAGTTAAGCTATCTTACAGTCCAATGTGGATTTTATCAGCAGTTATCGCCCTCGACATCTTTTGGTGTCATATTCAATCTAATCCATTTTACACATTCCGCGATAATGCGGACTTTCGCCCGGTAGCTAGTTTTGTGGTTGTGCAGCAGTATATCTCAGTCTCCGGGATTTCAATGTAGATCTCTCAGACACGTTTTGCTTTCAAGTTTAGAACTAACGGATTCCCAATGAAATTTACTCTAATAGGAATTGAAGTAAAATTCTATATAATAGCCAAAACTGTGTATGGTATTATATGGTGGGGCATCACTGACTTTCTAATATTTGTATATAACAGCTGTTACAACTCCCATACGTGATGTATTCGACTTTAAATGGATATCACTTTTCATATCCATTTTTCGTTATTTCAAATCATAGGCAAATACTTTTCTGCAGTCTAAATATGAAGTTTAAAATTTTTGATATATTTGGGACCGTTATTAGCTAAAATCGCAAAAAGGTTATTCAAAAAGTTAAAATCTTTATTTTCAAATACTAGAAACGTATGTATATTTTTATAGCAGATATAATATATAATGCAATATTTTAAATCGGTTGGCAAACATAGAATTGAGAAAGTTTTCAACATTTTATATTTCCGAGGAGTCCTATTTTGGGGACTAGGGTCATCCTCGGTGTGTTGATAAACACTTTCGTTCTAGCATGTTTAATTATTTGGTTTGTGTTTTAGTCCGATATAATTTTTGAACATTACTTCGACCATCAGCCGCATAAGAATCATTATCCGGAATTAGTTCATAAGTTTTATCATCCATCACACAATAAGTGTATTATTTTTAAAATTTAACCTAACTTTTTATTTAAAACAGCTGCTCGACTAATTTTGCCTTGTCAATATCTGTAGAACTTTTTTTCCTGAAGAGTTTTAATTATTTTTGCTCGGAGTCCACTTTGGCCGAAATAACAGCTAAAAATGAACGATTTAGAAAAGATAATATCTGTTTCAAAGGTAAAGTATTCTTAAAAATTATAATTTATTTGATCAGGGATAAGCTTTCATAATTTCTGAAGTTGAATCTACTGAGAAGACCTACAGAGATCTATGGAATCGTATAAATAATACTTTTTAAAACGTTGAGTTTTTGTAACAAATATATTTTGTTTCTAAGAATGGATAGCTAACTTGAAAGCACTTAATACTAAACTTAAAATATTCTATATAATGATCGGGTCCAGAGTATTTTTTAAAGTAATAAAAATTCAATATTTTTAGAAAAAAAAAATAATTCTTTCACAAACTATAACCTTTAAACTCTAAGAATCATTTAGTGTAATGAATTCATTTAAATATTTTTAACCAAGGGTCAATTTTTAAATGTCGAAAAGCATAAATTAACAAAAATGTTACAAACATCCCTTGACATCCCAAAAGAATCTGCGTTCATTTGAATTACATGTCCTTAACCCTTCTGACACCTTGTTTTTTTTTTTTTTTTTTTGTCTTGAAAAATACGAAATCATTAACAAGGGTGGTTTAGTTTTTTTGTCCATAAAAAAGCAGGGTGTTACATTTAAATCTTATCTTTAACCCCTTAAGCAATAACCTCTCACACAAAACATTTTCCTTTCTTAAGAAAGTTCATTAATGTTTTTACTTCCTTTTCTTAAATGACTTACACAACCCAATTTTTACCAATATCTAATGATTTGATTATGCAAATCATCATTATTGTAATTCTATCGATCATTATTATATTTTCTTAAAACTATTGATTGTATTAAAATTTTTAAAGAAAATATATTGATCCTGGTTGGATTATTTGTTCCTGTCAATTTTTTTTTTGCATAATAATTCATACGTAGCCTTTCTTGTCATGTCATAGATCATTTTGTGCTATTATTGAAATGATTTATTAAAATAAATATTTAAACTATTAGTTATTGTTATGAAAGACAGACGATCTTAAAGACGATTTTCTTTATTGTTACGTTTTGGTTGGGTTTAAAATTCAAATTTTTTCTTCTTCTTCAAAGTCACTTACAGCTGTTTAAATAATTTGATGAGTGTATAAAGGAGTTTTGATTTATTTCTGGAATGTTATAATTACAATAATAAAATTTTTATGGCTAGAATACCAGTGGAAACTGAGTCTATTCTGTGTTGAAGGTAGCATATTGAAAATGGACTATAGTCAAAACTATAAATAAGACTATAGACTAGATTATAGATCAGATTACAGTTCTGACTATACAGCAGGCTGTAGTCCAGACTATTGACCAGATTATGGTCAAAACTATAGAGGAGATTACAGTCCTTACTATATAAACTATATACCAGATTATAATCTAGACTATAGACTAATTTAAAGTTCACATTATTGAACAGCTATACCAGATTATAGCCCAGAATATTGATCAGATTACACTCCAGTTAGTTAGTAGTAGTTAGTTAGTTAGTTAGTTAGTTAGTTAGTAGTTAGTTAGTAGTAGTTAGTAGTTAGTTAGTTAGTTAGTTAGTTAGTAGTTAGTTAGTTAGTAGTTAGTTAGTTAGTTAGTTAGTTAGTTAGTTAGTTAGTTAGTAGTTAGTTAGTTAGTTAGTTAGTTAGTTAGTTAGTTAGTTAGTTAGTTAGTTAGTTAGTTAGTTAGTTAGTTAGTTAGTTAGTTAGTTAGTTAGTTAGTTAGTTAGTTAGTTAGTTAGTTAGTTAGTAGTAGTTAGTTATTAGTTAGTTAAGTTAGTTAGTTAGTTAGTTAGTTAGAGTAGTTAGTAGTTAGTAGTTAGTAGTAGTTAGTTAGTTAGTTAGTTAGTTAGTTAGTTTAGTTAGTAGTTAGTTAGTTTAGTTAGTTAGTTAGTAGTTAGTTAGTTAGTTAGTTAGTTAGTTAGTTAGTTAGTTAGTTAGTTAGTAGTTAGTTAGTAGTTAGTTAGTTAGTTAGTTAGTTAGTTAGTTAGTTAGTTAGTTAGTTAGTTAGTAGTTAGTTAGTTAGTTAGTTAGTTAGTTAGTTAGTTAGTTAGTTAGTTAGTTAGTTAGTTAGTTAGTAGTTAGTTAGTTAGTTAGTTAGTTAGTTAGTTAGTTAGTTAGTTAGTTAGTTAGTTAGTTAGTTAGTTAGTTAGTTAGTTAGTTAGTTAGTTAGTTAGTTAGTTAGTTAGTTAGTTAGTTAGTTAGTTAGTTAGTTAGTTAGTTAGTTAGTTAGTTAGTTAGTTAGTTAGTTAGTTAGTTAGTTAGTTAGTTAGTTAGTTAGTAGTTAGTTAGTTAGTTAGTTAGTTAGTTAGTTAGTTAGTTAGTTAGTTAGTTAGTTAGTTAGTTAGTTAGTTAGTTAGTTAGTTAGTTAGTTAGTTAGTTAGTTAGTTAGTTAGTTAGTTAGTTAGTTAGTTAGTTAGTTAGTTAGTTAGTTAGTTAGTTAGTTAGTTAGTTAGTTAGTAGTTAGTTAGTTAGTTAGTTAGTTAGTTAGTTAGTTAGTTAGTTAGTTAGTTAGTTAGTTAGTTAGTTAGTTAGTTAGTTAGTTAGTTAGTTAGTTAGTTAGTAGTTAGTTAGTTAGTTAGTTAGTTAGTTAGTTAGTTAGTTAGTTAGTTAGTTAGTTAGTAGTTAGTTAGTTAGTTAGTTAGTTAGTTAGTTAGTTAGTTAGTTAGTTAGTTAGTTAGTTAGTTAGTTAGTTAGTTAGTTAGTTAGTTAGTTAGTTAGTTAGTTAGTTAGTTAGTTAGTTAGTTAGTTAGTTAGTTAGTTAGTTAGTTAGTTAGTTAGTTAGTTAGTTAGTTAGTTAGTTAGTTAGTTAGTTAGTAGTTAGTTAGTTAGTTAGTTAGTTAGTTAGTTAGTTAGTAGTTAGTTAGTTAGTTAGTTAGTTAGTTAGTTAGTTAGTTAGTTAGTTAGTTAGTTAGTTAGTTAGTTAGTTAGTTAGTTAGTTAGTTAGTTAGTTAGTTAGTTAGTTAGTTAGTTAGTTAGTAGTTAGTTAGTTAGTTAGTTAGTTAGTTAGTTAGTTAGTTAGTTAGTTAGTTAGTTAGTTAGTTAGTTAGTTAGTTAGTTAGTTAGTTAGTTAGTTAGTTAGTTAGTTAGTTAGTTAGTTAGTTAGTAGTTAGTTAGTTAGTTAGTTAGTTAGTTAGTAGTACAATACTAACATCCAACCTGAGGCATTCCAGATTACAGTGTTGAACTTATTACAAACATTTCGTCAGGATCGGTCCATAGCAGACCCAATCCCTTATATAGCTCTTCCTTTTGAAGACTATTTCATGCCCCTGTTGATGTTGGGTATCACATTGTTGCAATTATATTACATTGTCTTGGTTGCTGTTAGTTTCAGTTAAAAAAGGAATAGAGGATTAAAATATAAGTAATCGATAATCGTTTCTCAGCTTTAAAGAAACGCGAATCAGAAGAAAGTAAAATTGATTAAAGATACAAGCTATATATTTTTTACAAAACTAGTATTTTCTTACAATTTTCATTATAATGGATACAAGTGTGGAAATCTTTCATGCTAACTGTCTAATGACTTGGAACACTTATAATTGTCCCGTTTGTTATTACATCAAAAATCCCGATTTGATGAAAAACTCCGCTTGTATGAATTGCGATGTCAACGATTCGTTATGGTTTTGTATTGTTTGTGCTCATGTTGGTTGCGGTCGAGGAATACAGGGTCATGCTTTGGAACATTATGAAACTACTAAGCATAAATATGTCATGGAATTGCAGGGATTTCAAGTTTGGGATTATAAAACGGAAAAGATTTTACATAAATTAGATGGTAAGCAGAAATTATAAACTGATGTTTAAAACTCGTAGAAAACGTAGGTAAATTTGCAGCAGATTCAAAAAAGTTTGCGAATAGAATATATTTATAATGACAAAGTGTTTCAAGAGAGTCCTTAGTTTGTATACTGAATATCAATTCCCAGTTATCCTTTAAAAGTTGTTGTTTACAATTTGGAAACCCCCTTGATCATTTATGAATCTAAATTATGTTTTTAAAGAAATTTTACTTTTTCTTTTCTAGCTAAAGATCAAAGACTCGATAACTTTCACAGCTACAACGAATCGAATGGCGAAAATACTTGCTCTTGCCCCGTATGCCAGCACATGCGCACGCCAAAATTTCTAAAACAACCCGTTTGTATGGAATGCGAAGAGGTCCAAACACCAGCTCTATGGATCTGTTTGTCTTGTAGTCATATTGGTTGTGGCAGACACAGTAATCGTCATGCTCTTTTACATTTCAACAAAACTAAACATCCATATTCAATGTGTCTGAATAATTTCAGTATCTGGGATTATAAAGAACACAAATATCTGCATCGGCAATTGCACGAAACGGTTATGGTAAAATCCGAATTGATGGAATTTGAAGGCGAACGCGTAAAGGAGGATTTCGAGAAACGTATGGATCGTTTGGAACGTGAGTGGCAAGAGTTTAGTAAACTAACGGAGGCCAATAAAAAATGATCACCATCGAAGAGAGATTACTAACCTTAACCGATGAAAAGAAAATCTTGGAAGAAAAGCTATATGAACATGATGCCAAGTAAGTGAAAGGTTATTATTATTATAAAAAAACACTAATAATTGTTTAACCGATCTTAGACTAAATGAATTACTTTCACAATTCGCTGGAAATCGTGAAAATTCTAACTCCCCAGCGAATACTGCTGCCAAGGCAATTGAAGCTAATAATAATACAAATGATCTTATGGAGAGTATCAAATCGGAAGAACAACATAAACAAGATGATGTAAGAATTTCTACATTCACAGGGACCTCTAAGAATTTTATTTCATTAATTATTTTAGGACTTTTTGTTTATTGTTTTTTTAGGTTATTTTTGCAAAAACTTGCTGAGTGTTTAGTGAATTTATTGTAATTTTTAATTTAATTTTTATTTCTTGTTTTGATGAGATTATAGCGAGAAATATTTGGATAGTGAAATTTATACAAATCTGATTCGTAAGGCCTTACAAAGAACATACATTATTAATAGAAGTATTATTATCATCATCATTATTACTATTATTATTGTTTTTAGTGTAGAGAAATTTAAATTATGTAAACTAGTAGAAGAATAAAATAAATTTTGTAAAATAAACTTGGATTTTGACTGAATTTTATAAAACTAGTTGGAATTCTAAGCAAAACTTAAACGATTTTTGAAACAAAAGGAGTTGGTGGTGGTATCTTTATTGAAGAATTTGGGACTAAATTCTCTTTTAGACGAATCTCAGTGACAACAGCTGATATCAGCAAATATCAGCGATTAAGAGGGCATCAAATTGACTAAGGTACTATCCGATATAACAGAGTTGTCAGAATTTATACTAATAGTCAATCTGCTATTAAATCCCTTATTGGTGTGTTTTCCACATCTAGACTTGTCCGTACGTCTCTCAATGAGATGACGAGATATTCACACATTACGCTTATATGGATCAAAGGACACGGGACTATATAGGGCAATAATACTGCAGACACTTTGGTAAGTGATGGAACCACGCTAAGTGAACTGGAAATAGACCAGTTCTGTCCAACGCCTGCAATAAGAAGACAGATCATAGACCTTTGGTCGAGTGAGTACATTTGCTTGATCGCTAGAGCATTATGGCATCATATGATATCTAACAGAAATATCAGAATTTATACTGATATTCCAGCTGCTTTAAAATCCCTTATATGTGTATTTTGCACTTCTAGGCTTGTCCGAACTTTTATCAATGAGATTGCGAGGACACGGTACAACATATGGCAATAGTATTGCCGAGAAGTAGACATCTGCTATACCAATGCTCAGGACCGTTGGTCGAATGAGTTCACTTGCTTGATCGCTAGAGCATTGAGGTCTTATATGGACCTACGTAGAACTATTTCATTGGTCTACAATAAGGTAATCTGGCACATTTGTCTTCCATATAATGACTTCTGTAGAAGTTTCCATATAAAGGATGAAGATGAGATGGTAGCCCAGCTTCTATGTGACTGTTCAGCCTTGAAAATGGTTCGAATCCGAACTATTGGGTCAACCTATACCGTCTTTCCGAACTGATTATTGCATTTTTAAATCTGTCAAAATGGGTGTAATCTTCAATTTTTCACTAGGCTGGACGTTATCTTTATACTACGTCTCTATTCAATGACACTTCCTATTTTTCTGTCCACTATCACTATATTCTCTTTCTCTTCCAGTTATTTTTTACAGAGGGATCAACTTTACACCCAAGTAATGATATATTGGCAACCTGTTAAAACCTAACACTTCAAAAGTTATGACATCGATCGAAAAATGGTATTCCAACAAAAATCAGATTCTGAACTGAAAAGAAGAAGAAATGGCTTTTTCCATTCAATGCTTTACGAATATGTGTATTCTGTGACCGAATCGAAATGAAGAATACCAAAGTTGCCAAACGGAGAAAATTTCGATTTAAATAGAAATGCAGAATAGGAATTTGTTCTATTTAAGCTTTAAAAAAACGAAAAACGTAGTTTATTCGAATTTTTCGAACTTAATTTCGAATTCTTAAGAAATAAAACAACAACTTTTTGATGCACAAAATAATGATGAAGCGTTTTTTTTTTCTTGAAAAACACATTTAATAATAAATATAAATATATATAAAAAATTAATTATGAATATTAGTTAATATGTTTGTTGTTGTTGCAGTAATAGCTATAAAAAAGGATTTAGCATTTAATGTTTTATAACCACTACAAACAAGTAACCACAAATTATGACCAACTATTCCCACTTTCCTTCTTTCAGTTATAAGTTACATTTAATGTTTTTTCTTGCGACGATTTGCCTTAGCCGAACTAGTAGTAGGAGCTTCTGTTTCGGGCACCACTACAGTACCGCCTGCAATTTCATCTTTTAGATCAGATTCGGCAATTTTACTTTGGGCATGCATATAAAACATAATATCATGTAATTGTTCTTTTATGGAATCCAATTCCAGTTCCTTGGCCTCTTTGTATTCTTTATATTGTTGTTCAAGTTGTTTGTATTTTGTGTGCCAGGAATTTTGATTATTTTGTAAAGCTCGTGATATTTCCTGTTCTTCAGATAATTGTTTTTGCAGTTCTTTGAGTCTGAAAGAGAAGTAATAATGATTCATCATTCCTATTTTACTTGAAGTTTAATTACTTACTTGCTATTATTTTGTTTGCAATTTTCTCTCTACAGTTTGTTTTTCTTTGGTTAAAGTTTGTATGCGTTGCTCCATTGTATCCATTTTACCTTTCGATTCCTCTGCGCTACTGCGAAAATCGCGCCATTCTTGCTCCAAACGTTCCATACGCTCTTCATAATATTTTCTTTGTGTATCCAATTGGGAGGTTAATAAATAAGTAAATTCCAATTGCATAGAATCGATTTTTTCTTCACCTTCATCATTTGGCGCCTGTGTGGCCACCAATTTACCATCGGTTTTATTTTGAAACAAACGATGTACAAAATTATCTCCCGCATAATCCCAAACACTGGAAGTGCCCAATTGCATGGCAAAAGTATGATTGGTGGCACGATAATGTGCGGCAGCATGAGCACCTTGATAACGTCCACAACCCACATGACCACAAATCAAACAGATCCACAACGAGTCGGTGCCTTCACATTCCATGCAAACGGAATTTTCCATAAGTTCAGGCGTTTGGACATGACGACAAACGGGGCAGGTGGAATCACCCCATTTGATGAGGCAGTTAGCGTGAAAGGCATGATTACACAATATAGTAAGTACACCATCAACACTTTCATCCATGCGTTCGAGGCAAACTGTTGTGTTTGAAAAATTAATGAAATATATGTTATTTAAAGAAGTTTGTTAAATTTCTTACCAGGACAGGTTGGTAGTTCAGTGTGACCCATGGGTGGTACACCATCTTCTCCTCTTTCGATTTCCGAAACCCACACAGCATGACAAAGTGAATCGGGTTCTAAAGAATTGTAAGCAGCACCATTGTAAGTTTGATAAAATTCTAAAGCAGCTGCATTGGAACGAAATCTGTAATGAAAAAATTTTCGGGAAATTATTACCAATTTATATAAACTATAGAATACTTGATATAATAATAGTCAATAGACTAGTCCGTTTTACTGTATAATAGACTTCTACATAGATTAGTCAATAGACTAAGCTGTAGACTAGTCTTTAGGCTAGACCCTAGACTAGTTAACAGACTAGTTGACTAGTCAATAGGTAATCGATAGAATAGTCGCTACCCTTCTACAGACTAGCCCATAGACTAGGCTGTAGACTCTTCTATAGATTAGGCTATAGACTCGTTAAAAGACTAGATCATAGACCAGATAATATACTTTTCCGATCAATAGCCTATAAACAAACCAATAGCTAATATCCTAGTCCACAGATTGATTCACTGATAGTATTAATCCATAGAATATTGAACAGTTAATAGAATCTAATAGAAAACAGACTACTCTAGTCAATAAACTTGTCCATAGACTATATAATAGACTGGTCTACAGACTAGACTATAGACTAGTTTGAGTACTTGATAAACTGGTCTACAGAAAGGACTAGTCCATATACTACTTGATGATGGTCCATAGATTAGTCACTAGTTCGTAGACTAAACCATAGACTATACCAAACAGAAGTTAATAAATAAGTCCAAAGACAAGTTAATATACTAATTAGACCATCGACTCTTTGTTTAGTATGTGTATGTATTGCCAAACTCTTTACTTACTCTAATAAAACCATAAATTGATTAGGACAACCATCGCGTACGATGCGTATATGTTGGATTTCCGAATGACAAGGAGCCACATAGCTTAAGAGATCATGGCAACTCAAACTAGCCGGTACAGCCAAAAGACAAAGTTGATTAGAAGGAGCCTCTTTAATTTCCTTGCGTTCGCTGAAATTTCAAAACAACAGAACATTTATTATCATTTAAAAATTCCCTATTAAAAACCTACTTTTTCTTATATAAATGTATAATGCCATTGGTAACCTCCACACTGGGATTACCCGAAAAGAAACCAATTTCTTTGGGAAATTCCGAAGCACATTGACCCTCTTCCAAAGGTGTCGTTTCACGGCTACTGCTAGAAGTGGGCATTTCTCTTTGACGCTTCTCGGACAAAGGTTTCTTTTCACCCAAACTACTCATTTCGGCAATGGCAGAAACACAATCTTCCTCCTCCTGGGACCACAGTTTATTCGTATACGTTTCAATGGTAATTTGTGATGAATGGCGTAAACCACGATCACGTTCGCGTTCTTTCTGCACTCTTGGATTATTGGGATGTTCTGATGAAACGGCACCAGCGTTTCCTAAAAAGAATATTCTTTTATTGCTGGTGTTTGTTTTGTAATAAAACTAACAACTTACCCAAATCCTCACTTGTTGGTGAATCGATTTCGATTTTAATTACACAAACCGATATATTTTGTAGCATTACATTGATATTTTTTATTAATTGTTTATTAGTTTGACATAGTTAATTTTTGTTTGTGTTTGATTATTTTCCATAAAATTTTGCAAATTTGCTTCTTTTTTTTGTTGTGAAACAAAGAAACTCAAACCCGCTTTTTTGCCAGACAAAGCAAAAGCTGACAACTGATTTTTTCTATTTATTTGCACAACGATGAAATGTCAAAACAATTAAATCAAAACAAATTTTAATAAGAATTTAATGGTTTTTAAAAAGTTTGAGTCTCATTTAAATATTATTTTTGTAATTATGTTAATTTATATTATTGTTTTTCCGTAAATTGCAATGTAATTTTGTAAATAAAAATAAGTTCTGCCAAAATTTCTACAGAGTTGTGAAAAAATGTCTCAAACCATTTGCAATGCAAAACGTCAGGGTTGTAGTACATAGTAGTACATAGTAGTCACAAAGTACTAATAAATTTTAGTAAGATTATGGTTGCTAGCAACCGCTAGATGTCACTTTCTCATCAAACAAAACAGAAAAATATCGTTACTTTTCAAAACTAAAGAATGAAACGATAATAAATTTTATAATAATAATAATAATAATAATAATAATAATAATAAATAAGAATAATAATAATAATAATAATAATAATAATAATAATAATAATAATAATAATATAATAATAATAA